CCCGTTTTTTGGGCCCCGAGGGGGGGGGGTTTTTGGGAAGCCCCTTTTGGGGTATTTTTTTTCTTCTTCCCCTTTTTTTTTTTCCTTTTTTTTTTTTTTTTTTTGGGGGGGTTTCCCGCGTTTTTTTAATTTCTGCCCCGTTTTTTTTTTTGGGGCCCCCATTTAAAAAAGCCCCCTTCCCCCCTTTCCCCCGGCCAAGGGGGTTTTTTTTGGGGAAAAAGATAATTGGAAAAAATTTTTTTTGGGGGGGTTTTCCCGTTTTGGGCAACGGGGGGAAAGGTTTTTTTTTTTTTCCCAAGGGCCCGGGGAAAATTCTTTCCCAAGGGCCGGGGGGAAATTTTTCCGAAACCCCCCCGGGGGTGGGTTTTTGGGCATTCCTTGCCCCCCCCCAAAAACCCCCTTAAAGGGGGGGGGGGGGGGGGGGCAACCCGCCAAAACAGTTAAAACCCTTTGGGTTTAATTTCAACCCACCCGGGCCCCGGGGCGGGGTTTTGTTTGGGTTAAAAAAAAGGGGAATTCCCCCGGGTTCCCCCCCCCCCCCCCCCCCCGGTCCGGCCGCATGCGTTGCCCCCCAAAAAGCAAGGCCACGCATGCCACACCGCACTTTAAATAACACCCAAACACCACCATTAAAAGGCCATCTAGACGAGAACCCTATTGATTGCTGTACCCCGCTACATCTACAAGTATGCCCTCTTATCCCTGCCCCTCATGGCACCCGTTACCTGAGAAGATGACCCCTCCTTCTCCTTCTCGTCCTCCTCCCCAGCATCGTCCGCCCCACCCCCTTCCCCCCACTTCTCGTACTTCCCGTGGAAGCGCATCGGGCTCTGGCTCATCCGAGCGATCGTGTACTGCGTCGCGTTGACCGCACCGCCGCCGCTACTACCGCTACCGCTACCGCTACCGCTACCGCTCTCGACGGCATAGCCATAGCCGGCTCTCCACGTCTCTGCCCAGGAAGAGTCCTCGTCGGGCACCCCGGCGACGTAGAGCATGCTGCCGGTGTACAGGAGGGAGGTGACGACGGAGAAACCGTGGCTGGTCTCGTGGAGGCAGGCCCATGACCCCTCGTCCACCTTCCACACCTGCATCATGTTCACCGGCAAACGGGGGTGATGGTGGTTACGGCGAAGGGATTTACTTCGTAGGCACGAGGGTTCAGGTAGAGACGGTGCGGCTGCGGGAACGCGATTAGTTTGCGGAGGCCGAGAGCTACTGTTTTGGTAGTGGAGTGGGCGGTCTAACGGTACACACTAGCTAGTATCGTAGATATTCCTTGGTGGTTCTTCACATTAGTCTCGCCAGCCAAAACTCTGACAAAAAATAAAAAAACACCAAAAAATTGCTAAACACAATCAGCACGACAAAAAGGCGGCGGACAAAGAATTCTGAAAAGTACGAACGACATGTTCATTTAAACAAGGCAACAGGCAGAACTATGAGGCACCGTAAAATCAGGTCGAGCCTGAGCTGTCTTACGTGGGGCGAAGGTCGGGCATTAGTCGATTGCTAGTATACATCTCGCAGTATTTAGTGCGGAACCCGACCTTGTCATAGACTAACGCTCCTCCCTTAGCCTTAATTCTCAGCGTCGATTTCTTCAGTCCTACTGCTGTGATGTAGTCTCTTCTTACAAATCAAACCCAGACTAAACACAGCAGTATGTCTTCTTACATATCAAACCTAGACTAAACACTGACTGCTGTATGTTACGCGTAATCTCTCTTCTCCCCACTCACGGCGATGCTTTGGCAGGGAGCCTCCCCGTTGACCCTGTCGAAGGCACCGGCGACGTACAGGCTGCGGGTGGCCGCGTCGTAAGTGAGGGAAGTGATCACTCCGTCGAACACCCAAGAGGAGTCTCCCCACCATGGCGTGTCGAAGCTGACCCCGCCGCCTACGAAAAAAGGAGTGGGAGCAGGGTGCGGAGCCACACGGTGGATGCGTCAGGCATGATTTGATTTCCCGATCCGTCTCGGCAGGGTGGATCAATGGATCAATGGACCTACCTCCACTACGACCTCTTTTCGCGACGCAACTTTGGCGTTCAACAATTGCAACTTGCTGGCCGTAGGTACCGTACCGTATGCTAAATAGCCTTACCGGGTGACATGAGAGCAAGATTGGATCGTTATTCCCAAGGTTGTCTCCGGTAATAATATTACCGTTAGCAAATGACCGCATCATTGCAGATAATATCCCAGTTCGCTACCATATTAAAAATCGTTGCCGTGGACATCCTAGCTTTTCCTCATGGTATCGCACCTGGAAAAGCTGCGATGCCGGTGTCGTTGCTCCAAATGGCTAGGCCTGGCTGGATGTACTCGCTATCGACGAGGTTAAACTTGCCTAACCAAGTGCAGGCGGAGAAACAAAAACAAACAAACAAACAAACACACGAAGGGGCTCGATGAAGAAAACAAACACAGAGGAGGCGTTCTGCAGAATAAGGGGAGAGGAGGCTCACGGGAGTGAAAAACGAGAGATAAAAAACAGTTCAATCAAAGAAAAGAAGGTGTGTGCACTTACATATTTTTCCGAATTTGGAGAAACAAAAATAAGTCACCCATTGAAGGTACGCCGACAAAACATCCGAGAGAGCAAAAAGCAGGACAGGGTAATAAAGAGAGACAGGGCCACACACGAGTGTTATTTTTATCTTTGAAAATGCCCCATTTTTCATGCGTCCGCGTGAAGGAAGACCATTGACCCGCGTGAAGGGTAAAAACAACATTCCGACAAAGAATGCTCCTGTGCGACCTTCCTCCTGCATGACGCGGGTTGATTCGTCAGAAATGTACACCGGAAGGCGTGTACACTAGACTAGACTAGCGCCACAAGACTAGGCTAGCGCCACAATAGATGGGACGAACACAGACACAGACATTGAGGGGTATGAAAGTGAAAGTGAAAGTGTCAAACCACACCCGATGGCGGCGACCCCGCCGTACTACCGCTGTACTACAGCTGCCGTCGCAATTTTCCTCTCCCTCTCCCTCTCCCTCTGTCTCACCTCCGATGTACAACACTTGGTCCTCGTCGTTCCACGCCAGGCTCATCACGCGAGCCTCTGCCCAGTTGCACCCGAGGCCGCCGCCCTGACACCCCCCCCCCGGCCCAAAAGAAACGCCGCACGAGAAAGGACGGGATTGAAACCCGGTGGTTTCAGAGTACCGTGTGGTTGCTGTTGTCATGATGAAAAACGTCCGGTACATATGCGCGGCACGCTTCAACACCCCGTGGTTACAGAGTACAATACGAGTGATTACTAAAAAAAGGATGAGCAAAGGAAGGAACTTGTCGTAGAGGGAAAAAAAAGTCGTTACTTTGCGTCGATCGGTCGTGCGCAGTCAGTGAGTCAGTCTCGTGTGCGGCACCCAATAGTTGTTCTTCTTCTGCGTCTTGCTCAACAGTTCAGCACAACATGGATGGGTATGTGTACCCGCCGCTCTGACGGCATGCTCACGCCCTTTCGCCTGGTATGCTTGACTCGACACTCCACTCAAAAACAACTTCTGGTTCGGAATACAGCTACACTACAGCAGTAGACCACAACAACAGAAGGTGTTCCTTCTCTCCCGGACCCACGCCGGATTTTCTGTTGGGGGTGCTTGCGGTATTACCGCAAAAAAACAAAATGATCGCTTGTTTTTTTCAGGTTAGGTGCCTTGGCAAACCGAATCATGTGGCTGTAGGATGCCTGTTTGAAGCAAGCAATAACTAAGCCACGTGATTATGTACGTAGGATACACCTATCGCCGGACTGCAATCTCTCCCAAATGGTCCAAATCTGTTGTACTCCTTGTTGATCTCAAAACGCGAAATGGACTGTGGGGATGACCTTGAAAAGTGGCCATCACAGGTGCCCAACGGCTGTCGAGGGAGATTTTCTCCCTCTTTTTCTCTGTGCAAGTCGGCGGCTGTAGATCGACGCCAACGAACGTGACAATAAATACACAAAACGCCACGTGTGAAAATAGGGAGAATCGGCCTCAACTGTAGCAACTTGGGACGTACGTGAACAGCATTTCTAACGGCCGTCTCTACAGCAGTACTGCAAATGTCAATTTTCTGTCTATTGTTTTCGTCACTCTGTGTTCTATAGAGCGAGCAAAGCGTTCAAGTCTGTGCGGCGGCACATGTCAATCCTCCGTTGGTTTCTGTTTTTCCCACAGCGGTGTTCTTCTGTAGAGGAGGCCAGGCGTTCATTTTCGTGCTACGGCACATCAATTCCGTGCTACGGCACATAAAAAGGCAATTCTCTCTTCATTTCCTCACGGCGTTCTTCTGTAGAGAGAGCCAGGGTCTCGTCAATTCTGTGATACGGCCCATGCCATTTCTCCGCCTTTTTCGTCACCGTGTTCTTCTGTAGAGAGAGCCAGGCGTTCATCAACTCTGTGCCACGGCACTTGTCAGTCAACTCTCTACATCCTGTTTACTTCCTCGCCATTTTCTGTAGAGGGAACCAGGTGTTGAACTTTGCCATACGGCACGTGTCTCTCATACGATTTCTGTTTTCTTCCTCACCGCCGTGCTCTTCCGTAGAAGGAGCCTCACATTCATCAATTCTGCGTTACGGCACATGTCTCTTATCTGTTTTCTGTCTCTTCGTTGCCGTGTTCTTCTGTAGAAGGAGCCACACATCCATCAACTCTGTGCTCTCTTATATGTTTTCTGCTTCCTTCTTTACCGTGTTCTTCTGTAGAGGCAGCCAGGCGTTCTTCCGGGGCTGGTATACAGCCACGTTCCGCACGTCCACGAACTTCTCCCCGCTCCAGACCCGGCTCTCGAAGGTACCCCCCACGAAGAAGTTTCCCCTCGGTGTCAGCTCCGATGCGAACATCTTCATGGTGGAGTCTGTCGCCCGAGGCACGCCGCAGAGGCCGTCGCCGATCTGAAGCGTTTTGACGGGATGTGATGTCATGGGTACTGTTTTTAGAAGCGTGTACATGTGTGTACCCTTTTGGGTAGTTGGCTTGACACCACGGAAGGCGTCCGCGTTAGTTGGACTGGTACGGACAACAGAGGGTATAGAGCAAAGATCAGAACGGTTTCTTAACGAAGAGACACCAACAACAAAAAACAATATACGAGACACTGCTGTATGTGAAGGATGTAGTGCCATGCGTATCACACCGCAGGTGTACGTTTGTGGTTATGGTGTGATGTATTACGAGATGACGACATGTAGTAAACTTTCGCTTGCGTTCAAAACAGGCAATACTACCACTAGAGTGGGATCACGTGTACATGGTGTTGCGAAGTAACGGGGCAGTGACATCACAGGCGCAGCAACGCGCTTGTCCAAAACTGTCTTTTAGTAACAGCCTGGCCTCTCGCAGGCACGGCACAGAGCAAGAAAAGAAAACAAGAAGAAAATAAAAAGAAAAGGCAGGGGCACACCACAAACTACACCAATAACCCGGCTTCCGAACTACTGGCGGGCTGGTCCTTGATAGCAAAAACAAGAGAGGGAACCCGAGAATAAAAGAACGGTCAGTACTAGTAGTGCTCGCACGCCCAAGACAGTGGTGCACACAAATCCAAGACTTTCAAGGGTTAAAGAAGACGAAAGGATAAAGGAGGGGCAGTGGCGTTGCCCCCTCCCCCGTTTTTCGAGGGTGAGCACAGAAAAATAAACGGACAACGACGAAAAAAGCCCACCCACTTTGTCGAACACCTGCCCCGTCCACACGCCCGCGCTGCAGTACTGCTGCTGGCAGGCCTTGCAGATGGTATCGAACGCACCAACGACGTAGAGAAGGTCGTACGGGTTGGCGTCGTGGCTGCGAGGGCATGCCGTGGCATGTCGTGGTACGAGTAGAGTAGACACGGAAGACAAGAGTCCAACATGAGGAGGGTTGCATAAACCAGAGCACAGGATAAGGCCAACAGATCAGACGTTGGGACAGGAATGGTTCAGTTTTTTCACGTAACGGTTTTCAAAACGGGCTGCGGAAAGGGAGAAGGGGGGGGGAGAGCGGCGCTGAGGAAGAGAAACATGTGGAAGAAAATCTAGAGAATAGACAAAGAGACGCACGCCGAGAGCACGGAGGACAGAGGCAAAAAAAAAGGAAGAGAAGAGGGCACTCACTCAAGCGAGGCAGAGAGAGAGACAGAAAGAGAGAGAGAGAGAGACGGGGGGGGGAGGGGGGATCGGAAGGGAGGGGGGCGGAGGCACGAAACAACGTTCGAAAACACGCGTACTGCACAGCGAGAGGAGAGGGTCCACGCCGGAACCCACCGCAAGATGTACAACATACCCACCCACACCCTGCTACACAACGACGCACACGGCCAGGAGGTGATAGTTATAGATAGGTTAGGCCAAGTGCGCTACTACAACTGAACGGGAAACTCAGGAACAGAACCCATCAAGAGCCGCAAGGACCACTCAACCACGCCGTGGATAGGGTAACCAAAGGTTGGTGGTGTGTGGCTGCAGGTATCGCTTAAATTAGAGCCGACCGCACCGACCCGCTTACAAAATGACAGTACCGAACGTCAAAGATGCTCCAGCAGAATGTGCGAAGATGCTTGCGTGTGTGTCGGCATGTTTCATAAGGCTTCGTTCTTGGATGTTATTGAGGGTGGAAGCAACTGAGAGAGTCCAGCGTCCAGAATCGCCACCACGTGCGGATAGGAAAAGTCTTGCAGCAAAGCCAAATCTTGATCAGGATGGTTTTGAAAGAGCGCAGTCAAAACGTGGAAAGCGTTATGACGATGAACTTTCAGGGCAAGCCAAAGCTTGGTTGGGATGCTTTCGAAAGAGTGCAACCAAACCCTGATAAAAAAAAGCGTATCGTTTCGGGGAGGACTCTCACCTTCCAGCACGCCACACGGCCAGGTCCGACACCATTCCCGCGGCCTTTCCGTACAGGTACAGCTGAGGCTCGAAGCGCGAGTACCAGCTCTCGCTGCGGTGGACGAAACCACGCCATCGGCGAAGAAAAAGAGCGAAGAGAAAAAACAAAACGTTAATACAAGGTACACGCACGCGTGTTTCCGCGAAAGTTTACGCACACGAGGAACATGTTCATCGCTACGAGATTTTGCGGCGTGCCGTGGTTGGTGTTTGTTCACGTATGTGTAGCAGCAGACAGCAGTACATATTGCTTTCAGCCTCAAGGGAACAGAAAGGATCGTCGAATGTTTCGAGTCGGAGATTTGGCGACCCCCAAAACGAAAAGTCGCTGCTGTAATTAGCACCACCCCGTTGGAAATACTTTCGCAAGAAAGCTAACGAAGCGATTTTTCACCAGTGCACGAAACAAAGCCCCCCCATTTCCCTCCATCTGCTGGGCACCCTTGATATTGCCGGTTGGGTGCTGGTCCAGTATACACCCGCTAGCAGAACAGAACCCCCCACCTTCGTCGGCATCGAAAGGGGGGGGGGGGGTGCGATGGTCAACAGCCCCTCACGGGCGACTGCCGCCGAATCCGACAAAACCACACAACGTTGAATTTTTGCAATGCGCCATACCGATCATCGCCGTCGTCTAAGGGAATGGGTACATGGGTATGGTATCCTGGCATGGCCACAACGTGCGCGCGAAAAAAACGACAGACCAGAGCAAAGCCGGGTGGACCTGACGCCCCACCCCGCTTTCCTCCCCCGCCAAATGCCGACCTTCGTCATTACCCTCGAAAATGGTGCGACGGTGAAAACACGTGTCATGATACGCCGTGATCCAATACTGCAAATGGCTAAAGAAACAAGCAAACAGACAATACACACACGAAGAGCGTGTTGGAGTTGCGCTTGCTTGCTAGCGGACTCTTGCGAACGGTGAACCTCGCGCCGTTCTACGAGGACTAAATAACGCCTCTCCATAGATAAACACTGACAGAGAGGAACACGCACACACGCAGAGCGTTTGTTCGTATTTCTACAAAGCGTAACGCCTTCGAACTGAAGAACCACACACACACGCGCACACACACACATTGGCCAGCCGGTTGGCGCGGTCGATGCTATTATAATAATCAAGACACACACAGAACAAAACACACAGACGCAACTAACCTGACAGGGTCGTACTGGGCGACGTTGGTGCTCTTCCCGTTGAGCGTGAAGTTGCCCCCGACTACCAGCGCCTCCAGAGCTTCCGGCTGCGTCGTATCCTCCTTCTTTCCCCCCCCACTACCGTCACCGCCCCCCCCGCCGCCGCTGTCACTGCTCGAGCCGACCTTACCCTTTTTGGACACGGCCATTGACCTGCGCACTGCCGCCCCGTCACCCCCCTCCCCATCCCCAGAGCTGCGACTCCTCCCCCCACCCCCCCCTCAAAACATAAACCGATGCTCGCCGCCCGCCTCGCA